AGCAGCACGTGAGTCTGTCTCCCCCATTCAATGGGGAGCTCCGCTGCACTGCATACTATCGGTCTTCGTGTCCCCATGGCCCTGTGGTAAGGGCTACTGAATGTTCTGGCAACACATAGACAGGAAGCCCTGCTTCCCAACCACACAGCGCGCAGACCTCTGACCCCACTCCCGTGTCTGGAACAGAACTGAGCACACACCTTCAAATCAAAGTTGACTCACTGACTGACAGAAAACCTTGCCCTGGGGCAGAAACCATGGGGCCAGGAGCCCAGACCCAGAGGTGTAAGAACAGAAATTGAGCTCTCCTTGAGGGTGGAGGCATTTTGACCTGACGGAGCACTTAGCTCCACCACCTCAGGCTCACGTGAGAGCGTTGCGTTCACCCGAGAAAAAGGGTGTGCGCTGCCTCCTGCTTCCCTCTCTTGGCTTGGCTGCGAAGTCTTGGCACTGCCTGGCTTGACCCTGTGCCACTACCTCAGCATCCCACCCCCCTTGCCTACTTCCCTTTCCTTTGGCTGAGGCCAAATATAAACTCCTGGGCAGGAAATGCCTTGCAGGAGCCTGGCCCCACCCTGAGATCCTGAGAAAATTGTCTGTGACAGAGAGGAAATGGGCCCGAGACACGCGGCCTCGGAGGCGAGCAGACACAACCCCTCCCGAGCCCTCCCGAGCCCTGCACACAGCAGGTGGCAGGAGCCTAGGGCTTTGGGGGCAGGGGCGACGATGTGCATTCTCAGGTGATGGTAAGGCCAAGGGAAGGGGAACCCAAAACGGTGGCCCAACAGCTGCGTAAGGCCTGGGGGCATAGACGTTATAGGGTACAATCGGAAGAGTAATAGGCTAGTAACCTGGAGATGCGGCTTTTGGTCCTGGCTCTGCTACTTTTTAACTGTGGCTGTGCTTCCATTAATGGCAACAATATTTATGATACTCAGTGTAATGATTAATAATAATTAATAACAGCCACTAATACTTATTAAGTACTTCCTATGTGCCAGGCCCTGGGCCAAGGACTTTTTGCATCTCATATTGGGCAAATCACTTACCTTCTCTAGGCCTCAGTGTCCTCATCTGTAAAAATAGGGATATAATCATCAAACCAACAACATGAGGTTTTTGAGAGGATAAAATGAGACGATAATAATAGCTCAAGTGCACCGAGCCGTTATTATTTTCCAGGCATCTCTTTAGGTTCTGTGTAGACGGATTATATCACCGAATCTTCACAATAACGCTGTGACGTAAGTACTCTGATAATACCTCTATTTTACAGATGAGGAAACTGGGGCCCAGAGATATGGAGTAACTTGCCCACATCCGCAGCTAAGAAGCGGTAGGCCAAGATGAAAATCCAGACAGTCTGGCTCCAGAGTCAGAGCTACCAAGTTAGAATCTTCCTCATTAAATAGGAGAAAGTGCCTAGGCTGGGGCCTGGCACACAGCAGACACAAAAAACATCTATCAGGGCTTTTGCAGTATGACCCCTTAGCCTAAAGTAACTTCCATCAGCCAAGAGAGCACCTGATCATCTCCCTTTCATTTGGTTCCCGCGACAACCTGTGTCCAAAGCAGGTAATACCTATTGCACAAATGGGGAAACTGAGGTTACAAAAGATCAAGCGGCTTCTGTTGGACTCCAGATGGGGGCCAGGAGCCTGCCTAAGTATCCACGGCCCTCCTGCTAATCTGTTCCCATTTCAGCCTCCCTCGGCTCTCCCCTCGGAATCCACTCCCATTGGCTGTGCATTTACTCAACTGACAGTACCCAAGTACCTACTCAGTGTCAGGCCCTACGCTGGGCACCAAGTTCTGAAAACAGAGCAAAAGCTGAACACTCCTGCAAGTTCTTGGCCAGAGCTGATGCCAGGCCCACCCTTCTCAGGGAGGCAGAGGCTAAAATGGACTGGCCTTTGAAGCACCCATGGAGTTTGTTTTGGAGGCAAAATAATGGGGAATGAGCGAGCTCCAAAGCAATGGCGATAGCAGCTGGCACGGCCTGAGGGAAGGAAGCATACAGCCCCAAGGATCCTGAGCTGGAAACGCTGCGGGGAGGGCCAGGCCTCTGGACAACCCTCCCACCCACGCATACCTAATTCTAGCGTGGGCCACACCAGCTAGAGGGATCACTTGAGTTAATCCAGCCAGCCTCCTGCCTGCCCCTAACTACCCACACCTTCTAAATAATGCAACCTGGTTGTCAAGACAGCACATTAAAATATCTCTTCTTCCCTATGCCACCCAGCCCCCTGCTCTCCACCCCCAGTGCTGGAAGGGGCTAATCAAGCAGGCCTGGTGCTGATGTCAGAACCAACCTCCCAACTCCCTCCTCCATGCCCTCCCCACCCCAACGCAGCTGTCTTAGAGCCATCAATACCCACTCCTCCATATTTTCCCTCCTATCCATCTCTCCCCCCTGGTGATGGGGGTGGGAGGCAGGGACAAGCAGGCAAGGACCTGGGGACTGTCTGCCCAGGAGTGACTAATCACTGGTGGGTGTGATGAGCACTCAGGGAGAGAGAGACCCACACCTCAGCACTTGCCTCCTGGCCAGGCATCTGGAGAGCGAGGCATGGCCCAGTCAACTAAGGATGTCAGGCGGCGGCGGCGGACTGCCCGGATCCTGATCCAGCTCCATCACTCCCTGGCTGCGTAACCTTGGGCAAGTTCTTCGTGCAACCTCTACGTACGTCACTTTCTTCCTGTGTAAAATGGGGATAATGATAGCAGTACCCACCTTACGGAACTGCTCAGGGCGCTAAGTGACTTAAAATGTGTGAAGAATTCAGAAGAGTTCACTATTATTATTGGCGTTATTATTACTAGAGCCTGTTGCAGTGTCATAAGTGCCACTAAAGGCAGCCAGAGGAAGAGAGCCCTAGAGGTGGGCATGGCAAGGAAGAGCTTTTCTAGATGAGGTGGACTCTGAAGTGCCAGAAAAGTCCAGACCTTATGCCCAGGAAGGGGCAGGTTTGAGTGCTGCACATCCCCAGGTCAGTGAAAAACAGCAAAGGGAAAATGTCACAGATGGCACTGCCAAGCAACAATATTGACAAGAATTTTATTTATATTACTGGACTGAATATTCAACAACCCTATGAGATAGGCACATATCTCCACTTTATAGCTGACAAAAATGAAGGCTCAGAGAAATAATTTGCCCAAAGTCACCCAGTGCCACATGTACCAGAACTTGCGCCCTTGCCAATGACACCCTGCTGCAGGAATTCCTGTCCAGCTCAGGATGTTTTACTTCTGCTCCACTCTGGCCCCTTTCCCACATTCCCCTCTTTGTTGTTCCATTTCGAAGGCCCTGCTGGGTGGGGGCTGCTTGGGCCAGATGTTTGGGGCCAAGCTCTTCCTACAAGGTCCCTGCCTCTGCCCCAGCCCGACTTGGCCTCAGCCTGGAGCAGAAAGGCTGGCTGCAGTGCCTATCTCACACGTCAGACCGGCCAGCCTTTGGCCAGCCCAGATAAAGGGCAGGAAACCCCAGGCCACCTCCCCTGGAGATCGCTCCCTCTACCAGGGAACGGAGTTGCAGCCGGGCCAGAGGTTCCTCTGCGGTGGGAAGCCGCCTTGGCTGCCGGGTATGGTTCAGGGAAAACAGGGAGGGCTGAGGGTCAGGAGACCTGCGTTCCAAATCCTCCCTCACTGGAGACTCTTCCCTTCCCTGCCCCAGGATCACTCTGGGGAAATCCTACCATCTACTTTACTGGGTTGCCCTGACAACAGAATGGGAAGTGAAAGTGCCTTAGAAACTAAAGAAATGGGGGGACTCACTGTCATTGTCATCGACTGCTAGGGGAAGGAATGGCTGAGCTGGTGTTTCTCCCTGTCTGATTCACTCTTCTAGGCTCCACTCTGGGCATGGCTCATACTCATTTCCGGCTTCCGTACTCCCTAAAATATCCTCTTCCCTCCACTCCCCACCAGCTCCAGATGAAGCCAAGTGGCAGGAAAGCAGGTATCCTGGAAGCCCCCACACATCACATCGTACTCAGCTCGAGGCTGTGCCAACTCCTACTGGGCTTGTCGCCTGCTATGGAAGCACCAGTAAGAAGGACCTGCCTTGCAAGGGCTCCCCAGTCAGGGACCTGAACCACCAGCACGTCAGAGAGAGTTGTATGAGGTGTTTAGACCCAAGATTCTGGGGGTTCAGAGTCTACCCGTTAGGGTCACCAGAAAAGGATTATGAAGAAGTCATCTGGAAAAGTTCAGACCAAAAATAAACAGGAGAAGGAGGGGCTTCCGGTACCCCATTTCCTGCCCCCACATGTTTTTTTTTTTTCTTTTGAGACAGAATCTCACTCTGTTGCCTTGGCTAGAGTGAGTGCCGTGGCGTCAGCCTAGCTCACAGCAACCTCAAACTCCTGGGCCCAAGCGATCCTCCTGCCTCAGCCTCCCGAGTAGCTGGGACTACAGACATGCGCCACCATGCCCGGCTAATTTTTTTCTATATTTTTAGTTGTCCAGATAATTTCTTTCTGTTTTTTTTTAGTAGAGACGAGGTCTCGCTCTTGCTCAGGCTGGTCTCGAACTCCTGACCTCGAGCTATCCTCCCGCCTCGGCCTCCCAGAGTGCTAGGATTACAGGCGTGAGCCACTGCCCCCACATGTTAAGGTGGCCAAAAACAGTAGCATGCAGGGAGGACAGTGATGAGGCTGGGAAGGGGGACTGTCCCAGGTCTGAGGAGGAACACTTGAAGGATCTGCAGCTGTTTGGCCTGGAGAAGTCACAGAGAGCAGAGAGGGTCTAGGTGGTCCCAGAGGGCAGACCTGGGACCTAGGGTTAGAAGCCTCAACAGGGCACAGTTAAGTTGAACATGAGAAAAATGTCACAGACATTCCACAGATGAAAACAACTGCGTGAAACACACCGTGCTCCCAGGTATTGAACATAGGTGAGCAGGAACTACACGAGTACGTGCCGGAAGCCCCAAGCTTTAGAAGGACCGTTGGACCTCTGAGGGCCCTTCTCCCGAGTTCTGTCTCTGCACCTACCTCCAGGCGGATTGTGCGAAAAAGCATCAAGGTGACTGGAGCTGGCTAGGCCCTTGGCTGCTTCCCACGGAGACCTGGGACCCCAGGAGCACCGTGGGCTGGTACTACCTGGGGGAGCGGGTCACTCATTAACTTGTGGCTGAATGGGTCAGAGGTTGGCCCCCTGGGACAGACGCAAGCATGGGGAGGGGCTAGAGAGCAAACTGCACGAAAGCCCATACCCAAGGAGAACCCGAGCTGTGGCAATTCAGGGCCCAACCAGCTCAAACCGACCCAGCCGGCTGAGTATGTTCAGTGTAGACAAGCGAACGGCCTTGAGTGGGAGGGTACACTTGAGCAGCTCAAAGGGAGCCTGACAGACCACCGGGGCCACGCTGCCTGCCCTGCCACGTTATAGATGTGGAAATTGAGGCCCAGAGAAAGCAAACGCCTTCTCTAAAGTCACTCACGGAGAGGCAGCTATGGAAAGGCAGAACCAGAAGCCAAGCCTCCTGCCTCTGTAGTAGGCCCACAGGGTTCACCAAATGTTAGCTCCTTCTTTTCCCCTTAAAACTGCTGAAAACTGCTTGTGGTCTGGAGCTTTCTAAACTGGGGGTTGGCCAGGGCCCCTCTCAAGCCCCACTGCTTATCTAGATACAGGCTGCCTGCGGGCCTCTCTACTGAGACCCTTCTCCACTAGAGGGGCCTCAGCAGCAGCGGAGTGGCTGGCAGTCCCCACCCCCAGCCTAGCGTGGAGCAACCCACAGCTGTACTGAAAATAGACACACTCACACAGCCTCACCCCATCGCCAGGAACGGCAGACCCTTTGGGTGGGCATTTCTTGCTCTTTTACATTTCCCAATTGAGATCAGGGGGTCAACTGCTCCTAGAAACACCCATGCCCGTTTCTGACCCCACTGCCCATCCGAATACCTATCAACTCAACCCCTCTGCCCTTCCTAATACCATCCAAGCTGAGCCCGTGTCCTTCGAACTGTGAATACTTACTTCTGTTTGCCCAAGTAAAGGACAGAAGGGCAGAATTTTAATTGGCCACAGAAGTTCCCGTGACTGAATGTTTGTCAATGTCCCCTTGGGGGAAGGTGAGGGTTCAGGATAGGGTCCCTTTAAGGCCTGGGGTGGACAGGGAGTTAGTTAATGACTATCCCCTAGAGGTGACTTTCCAAGGTGGTTATTATGTGGCTCAATTATTAACCAAGCAGTGGCAGGACCCCATGCCTGTTGGAGGGGCCACTCCTTCCCCAAGGACAGCCCAAGAGCAAGAGGCTGCAGCCAGGGAGAGCATTCCTGGGGTTGTTCGCTCCCTCTCCACCAGGCTGCAGTGGGGCGAGTGGGGGCAGAGGCCTGCACTGAGGGAAGCTCGCCCTCAGCCCCACATGTGGGTAGAGGAGGGCCAGCCCGGATGTGGAGGAAGTCAGCACAGCCTTACTGGGGCAGGAGGGAAAAGAGAGACAGTGAGGGTTTTTATCATAAATGAGAGAGGAAGCTCCAAGCTGGGCCTTGGCGATTACATGGCAAGCTGGGAAAGGCGCTCATCCTGAATGCATCCTGTTTTGCTCTGAAATGGCCTCAGGGCCAGGGCCAGGAGCATGGGAGGGGCCTGCGTGGAGAGCGGCCTCCTGAGGACCTCAAGCTCCTGGGTGGCCCTGGAATTGGGGGGGCAAGTGGCAGAGTGAGAAGTTTCATTTACCATTAGAGAAACAAAGGCACAGAGTCTCCACAAGAAGCCGCCACAAGTCAGCTTTGGGCGCGGAGCCCCAGAGGCAGCTAACATCTGGGCTTGGACCTTTCGTGGGCCTCTCTTCTAAGGGTCAGCTCAGATGTCACTGCCTCTGTCAGTCACCTTCCCTTCAGTCAAAAGCAATCGCTCCCCGGACTCCAAGGGCAGAACTTCCTCCTTGACAACTGGAAATATGAACAGTGACCAGATATTTGATATTAAGGGACTGTTCTAGGTATGATAATGGCAGTGTAGTTATTTTTTACGAATCCCTATTTTTTAGAGATATATATCGAAATATTTATAGACGAATTGATACAATGGTCTCAGATTTGTTTCAAAACAACAAGAAAGCAAGTGAAGTAGGTGGAGACATGGACAGGGCAGGACTGGCCGTGGGCTAATGGCTGTCGAATTTGGGTGATGGGTACGAGGAGCCTTATTATACTAATTATCTCTATTTTATATATGTTTAAAATTCCTTATAATAACTTTTTAAAAGCCCTCACTGAGGTAGAGTCTCAGTGGGTCATGTATTATTTATGCCACTAACCCTCAAACTAGATAGTAGATTCCCTGAAGGTGAGAGTTAGAACTCCGTGTCTTTCACAAGCCCTAGCACCAAGACTGAACTTAATGACTAATAATTTGTACAGCACGTGGTAGTTTACAAGGTACTCAGCCATGGATCCCCACGTTTCATCCAGTGAAGTGGAAAATATGAGGAGAAACCAAGAGTCTGAGAGTTAGAGGAGAAGAGCAGAGCCTGGATTGAAACCTTCGTGTTTCCAGCTCCCAATGCCCTGCTTTTTGCTCCACGCCACCCTGGCCTCCGAAGGAACTTAACATTCAGTTCTAAAATGCTAAAACTCAGTTCATTCAGTTCTAAAATTCGAAAATTCCTATGTGGTCGAGGTAAACAGGAACAGCAACTGTTTAGCATGCAAGTTCCCAACAAGGAGGGCTGGGCGAGAGGAAATTCAACACAGAAACACAGCACTTCAGACTTGCGACAAGGGCCCAAACTATGGCCTCCAGTCCACTGGCCCATGTCCACCAGGACTTTCCCCGGACACACGCGCATTCACACGTGTGCACACACCCAAACCAAGACCACAGATGAATAGAGCCTTAATAAACACTTGACAACAACAACTGTGTGCCAAGCCCAGTGCTGAACTACCATGTCTAGAGTTGGAGGACAATATAATCAAACTCACCTAGACCTTGAAGAGCTCACACTTCCCATCCTAAAGGCCTTGCATCTTTGAAATCCCTTATCCCTATTTTATCTCCTGAACAGCCTCGCTTGATCCCACCCAAATGGGGAGCCCCAGGAAAAAGTTCTCTCTCTTCTTCTCAAGCCAGAGGCAACTCCTTCCTCCAACCAGAGAAGAGGTGAGGACACACCCTGCCCTTTGCTAAACCTGCCATGTGGGCTGGGAGTCACCCATAATCCTAGCACTCTGGGCAAGGCGGGAGGAGCGCTTGAGGTCAAGAGTTTGAGACCAGCCTGAGCAAGAGCCAGACCCCATCTCTACTAAAAATAGAAAAACTTAGCTGGGCATGGTGGCGTACACCTTGCGGTCCCAGCTACTCGGGAGGCTGAGGCAGGAGGATCGCTTGAACCAAGAGTGTGAGGTTGCAGTGAGCTAGGCTGATGCCACTGCACTCTACCCAAGGTGACAGAGCAAGACCCTGTCCCTGTCTCAAAAAAAAAACAAAACCAAAAACAAACAAACAAACAAAACCCTGCATGTGTTGAACAAGGAGCTCCAGGAATCTGCTAGCACAAAAGCACCAACAGCTGTGGCCACATCCCAGTTAGACACTTCATCCCCTCCTCCCTTTGGGACCTCCTCACTTTCAAGTCTTTGCTGCTATCCCTATACCTGGACATAGGGGTCCTCTGCTCTCTGTCCAATCTATAGTCCCAATAATGGAATTTTAAAACTTCAAGAAGACAGAGAAGGACAAAGTTCAGACCCTCTTGGTGCCACTTTTTTCTCTCCTCTGCTGGAACTCGGGAGGTGTTGTGTTTGAGTAAGGAAGGCCCCCACACAGCACGCACACAGGGTACACAGCCCTCTGCACTGGCACACCTTCTGCCCCTCTTCTTGCTCTGAACACCTCTAGATATCACCTCCCAGCAGCCTCTCCTTTCCAGATGGGGGAGTGGAGCTGTAGAAGCACGGAGGTTTAAAATACTTCCCCAAGGGTTGCTTAAGGTATGGAAAGAAGGCAAGAGAACTCTGTCCAGTGTGGCGTTTCCTAGCCCTGACTACAGACGTCTAGGGAGCAGAAATTCCAAATCCAAAATCCAGAAAAAGACAAAAGGCTGCATCCCTAAATGAGGACCAGTCCAGAATGTCCAGCTAGATGGCAGCTGTACCTTTGTGGTGAAAGAGTTTCAGCCCCACCCCCATCCCACCCCCCTACAGCCAAACACCACCCTTCCCACCACACTTGCCACTCAGACAGCCCCCCAGAAACCACCTGCAGCCATCTTCTCTACAGCCTTGGGCCGCCCAACTTCGCATCCCCAGACAAGATTTATCCCTCCTTCATTGAAGGAGGATGAAAGCGATGGGAAATCTCAGACAGCAGATGGTGGGGGAGCGGGACAATCCCTAGAGTGGGGACAGGAGGAGTCAGGGTTTGAAAATAGCCCTGGGTGTGATTCATTACCGTCTCCTCCCCAGGACTTGGGGTTAGCATGGGTTCCAAAGCAGCCCAATCTCTGGGGTCCCCACCCTCTGGGGTCCTAGACTCTGAAAGGCAATTCCCACCCCTCCCCACCTTCAGTCTGGCTGCTGTTCTCCCCCTCCCCCCAACACACACACTCCAGTTTTCCAGCTGGCTTAGCTTCCTAATCACCACAAAGCTCTCCATGTGCATAGCTCCTGCTGCCCCAAGCGTCTCGGAGACAACCCTTTACCTGCCAGTTAGGAGCCTGGCCTTGAGAACCAAGAAACCAACTGTCAGGGTGAAAGAGACTGGATCTTTTAGATACTGAACTCAAGTGGCCAGCTGAGGTGTGGCTGAAAACACTGGCCCACAGGAGTAGTATGACTTGCCTAAGATCACATGAACTGGCTAAACCCCAGTTTCCTGAATCGTAATTCAGTGCTCAACTTTAACAAGTGTTGGGAGAAGAGACGTGGAGAGAACCCCAGACAACCTAATTTGGAAATCTCAAAAACTTCCACTAAAAGGTTCTCTAATCCAAACCCATTTTGGACTTCACAGAGAAAGTGAGCCCGAGAAAGATGAGACTTTTCCAAAGGTTTTCCCTTGGTCCCTGCAGCTACTTTAATAC